CGACCTCTCCACTGGACTTTCACTGAAGCTATATCCTTGGACCTCAACTTACGAACCTGCCGACCCAAAATAGCAACTGGCTTCACATCATAGGTCAAATCATTATCTAGCTGGATCGAGCCGAAGTCTAATACATGGGACGGGTCCTCCACGTACTTCCGGAGCATAGACACGTGGAATACCGGGTGAACTCCAGACAACCTGGGTGGCAAGGCAAGCTTGTAGGCCACCTCCCCAATCCTATCAAGAATCTCAAAAGGGCCAATGAATCGAGGACTCAGCTTTCCTTTCTTCCCGAACCTCATCACCCCTTTCATAGGCGAGACCTTCAGCAGAACCTTCTCACCAACCATGAAGGATAACTCTCGAACTCGCCGATCAGCATAGCTTTTCTGACGCGACTGAGCTGTACGAAGTCGCTCCTGAATTACCTTCACCCTTTCCAACGCGTCCTGAACCATATCAGTACCCAATAGCCTGGCCTCGCCGGGCTCGAACCACCCAACCGAAGATCTACACCGCCTCCCATATAGAGCCTCATATGGAGCCATCTGAATGCTGGACTGGTAGCTGTTATTATAAGCGAACTCTGCAAGGGGCAAGAAATCCTCCTATGAACCACCAAAATCCATCACACAAGCCCGAAGCATATCCTCCAAAATTTGAATCGTGCGCTCGGACTGCCCATCCGTCTGAGGATGAAATGCTGAACTCAAGTCAACCTGAGTACCCATACCCTGATGAAAAGCTCTCCAAAACTGGGAAGTGAACTGCGTACCCCTGTCCGATATAATAGAAACCGGAACACCATGCAACCGGACAATCTCCCGAATAAAGATCGATGCCAACCGCTCTGAAGAATAGCTGGTGCAGACTGGGATGAAGTGAGCGGACTTGGTCAAACGATCCACCACGACCCATATAGAATCAAACTTCCTCGATGTCCGAGGCAAGCCAGTCACAAAGTCCATAGTGATCCTCTCCCACTTCCATTCAGGAATAACCATCTGCTGAAGCGAACCACCGGGTCTCTGATGCTCGGATTTCACCTGCTGACAATTAAGGCACCGAGCTACATGGCCCACAATATCCCTCTTCATCCTCCTCCACCAGTACAGCTGCCTAAGATCCTGATACATCTTCGCGACCCCCGGGTGAATGGAGTATCGCGAGCTGTGGGCCTCTGCCAGAATCGTCTCCCGAATCCCATCTACATCCGGCACACAAATGCGACCCTGCATCCTGAGAACACCCTCGCCATCAATAGTAACATCTCTGGCGCCGCCCCGCTGGACCCGATCTCGAAGAACCTGCAAATGCCGATCATGATACTGGTACTCCTTAATGCGGTCATGCAAGGATGACTGAGAAA